TTTAAAGTCAAGGAACAGATACATTAAAGGGATAGCAGGCTGGAGCTTGGGCATATCTAGTAAGATAAAAGCTGTCATGTCTTTTGTTGTTGGTTTTTTTTTTTTTAGACTACTCTCAGTAATGTTATATACCTGATCAAACACCAAACCACTTAATTCCATGAGCACTGGGAAACCACTGATTTTTTAAAAGAAGTCTGTCCTGATTCAAGCTGTGTTTTAGGAGGATTAATCTGACTAAAATTTTACACTTGGGGACTCAATCATGTTCTTTTATATTCTTAATTCTTCAGCAAAATGATTAAGTGGTTATCTTTGTGAGTTGATTAAGAGGAAGCCACCTTTCAAAAACTTCCTTTCAAAGAGTGGAGTTTCCCATTCAAAAAAAATTTTTTTAGGTGATTCTCAGAGATAACGTTTCATTTCCTTGTAGACCACTGATATCCTTAAAGATAATGACTGTATCTTACACTACTATCACTTACTACAGGAGCTAGATTAGTGTCATATATGTATATGTATATATGTGTGTGTGTGTATATATATATATATATGTGTGTGTGTGTATATATACACATATAAAATAAATTTTCAAATCCTAGATTCAAGGTAGAATGGTTCATTCAACAACATGTAATCAACTTCATTTTACATGTTAGATTTTTCAAGCCCAGAGAAGCTATTATATTACCTGAGTAGTGAAGTGAACATTCTTCAAATTTTGTGTCTTTACTGTATTTTTCCCTAGTCCCATATCCTTTCTTTCAGGAAAACTCCAACATTTTACCTTCTGCCCCATTTAAGAAAACTATACATGTCTACAAATTTTCTATAGTTTTAGAACCTTTTCCTAAAAGCAATTTCTGGATGTAAAGATCTGGGAATCTTGGTCAAACCTAGAGCTGGATTGAGTATACACTTTCATGTCAAATCCTACTATGGTTAACTGTTGATAATGGATTATATAAAGTAAGCCTAAAATTAAAAGTAAGCCCTAATTAACTGTGTACATAACAGATGCAATAACAAGAATCAAATTCCCCAAACTTTGCTTTACATAGAAATCCCATCACCCCAAATCAGCTCTGTGTAAATGCAACTTGTAACATGACTCTAATAGTTGGTGATTTTTCAGAGATTCCCGGTCAGTGCCCTAACACAGGATGGTGGTAAGTGGAAATGCCCATTAATTTCTTCAGAGTAGTTCAGAGCTATTAGGGGCTCACTAAGGAACCTCACTGAGCCAAGAGACTCCCTCAGATTTATCTGGAATATGGTTCAAGGGCAGCATCCTTGAGCTACTCGACCAATAGGATATCCAAGTTGTATCCACACCAGTTGGAATCATGAGGCCCTTTTGTTACCAGAAAAGGGAAATAAAAATTATCTCGGTTCTTAGTCACCCGAAAAAAAAGAATTTTTGACGACAGACAAAAAGGGTGATATAAGCAAGATTTTTATTAGTGAAGTAAAAACATAGTGAAAGATAGTACACTCCCGAGAATTTGGAGCGGGCCAATTCAAAAGAGGAAAAATGGCACCATTCCCTTGTTTTTCCTATTTTTATATCCTGGTTTCATAATTGACTGA